ACAGTTGTCTACAGCCACTGGGATGGAAAAAAATAAAAAACACTACACAATTGGATCACACAGGAAAAAAGAAGGACAAAAACAATTTTGAAACAGAAAAACTGAGATGTGTTTGTAATGAGCTGAACTTGTGTCGGAAGTGCCAATTGAGTGTATGCCAAGGTGCGGCCTCCATCGTCCATCAAATTTTATTTCAAACAACTTCTTCTGAATAACCACAAGGCTTAAGTTGATAATATATGGCCAGAAGCCTGTGTTAATGAATTTTTGATGACTTCTTAAGAATAACCAAAAGTTTAGAAGTATGCTGGGATGAAAAACTATAAAGTGTGTTATATTTAATGCCCTTGTTCAACTTTTAAGGTCACTGGTCCTATATGTTTAAATCTTTTCATAGAGTCTTTTGAATCAAATAGTGATATTTTATATGTAGTTTTATTTTGGTCTAGTCCACTTTTAAGATTACAAGTGTGAGATTCAGGCCCATTGAGCTTCTGAGACTCTTATTATCTTTTTATCCATATATTTCAAAGAATGAATGTTTCTTTTGTTTTTGAGATGTGATTTGTTTCTTTTGCTGCTCTGGGGTGTAGTTTCTGGACTTTTCATTTATACAATGGCAGAATGAAAGAGTTAAATATTTCAGCTCTCTCCTTCAGTGTAGTAAAATATGGTTGGTATGTGTCTAAACACAACGTGTCTGTCACATGCTGAATGAGTCTACATAATTTCTCTGTACATACATTTTGACCATGGTCAAAGACAAACTTTGTTTGTACCTTATCTTTTAGTTGACGAAAACATGGAATGATGACTTTTAGCTTATATGCATGTACCACTACATTTGTGAATGGCAAAGTATTGCTGCCAAATATAGTGCTCTACATCTATGTTGCAATACTTTGCCTCTGTGCTTGTTACTAAAATTTAGTTGATTTTGATGTTGATTTATCTGGCTCCAGGAGTTGTATTCTTCATGATGATGAGAAATTATGTCAAATCTTGAAATATTGCAAGAATTATTATCCCCCCTAATCAAGGTCAGCATTGCTATAAATATAAATTCTGTTTCCTCACTCTCACTTGAGTTCTCTTTGGCGAATTACGCTTCAACTTCATATGATGCTTGCTTGGGAGTGCTTTTCAGGTCCAAGTGTCAAAGGTCCAAAGTCAAGGTCACCATTGCAATCTGGGTTTTCGCACTTTTAACTTGAAATTTCCTTCTTACTGAAGGGTCTTGCTTGGAATTGCTTTTCAGGTCCGAGAGTCAAAGGTCATGGTCACCGTTGCTATAAATAAAAATTTGGTTAATGTGCTCCAACTCGTGTCCCTTGGGCCGATTACACTCAAACGTCATATAGTGCTTCCTTACCGAAGGGACTTGCTATAGCTTTTCAGGTCGGAAAGTCAACAGTCAAGGTCACCGTTACTAAAAACAGAAAAATGCAATAACTTCGAGTTGTCATGTACACCATTTATGGTACGTCTCACGTTGGAAGGTGATAGGTCAAGGCTACTGTTAAAAATCTTCACTTTTAATGGCTCCCGATGTTCAAAGGTCAAGTTCACTTAAATGCTAAGATTATGCCATCTCCCAACTTAAACAGCAATCCGGGGGATTAGTATCGTTCACTGATACATTGTTTCGTTTCAGTTATTTTTCCTGTGCTTGTTAAAATAAATAAGCAATTCAATTAAAACATGCTATTACAATGTTTATTATATTTGGCTTTTTCTTTACCTAGAAAATGGACAATACATAAACGTTCCCCAACGAGTGATGGTTTGTTTTCATGTTTATATAACTCGAACGTTAATTTTCAAATCGTATAACGACAGGAGACTTATCTTACTGAGTTAAACATGATAACCAACTACCACAACTTACGGACCTTTTTCTCCCACAACGTTCATATCATATCTGGAAAACTATCTGTTTCTGTTGCAAATAACATTATTCCTGTTATTGATTGAGACAACACTCATGACAGAAAATAACATCACAAAGCATTGTTACACAACGTCATAGATAAAGCACAGACCCAAGAAATCGCATCCAGGGTGTAACAACTAGTGGGTAACCAAAAAAGTTACCAACTCCAAGCAATTTTACCCAATGAGTCGGGAGTAAGAAAATTTGTTGTGCTTGTAGGCTGCTACAGAGCTCATAAGTGGTATGTACCTCGGTAGGCTGCTACAGAGCTCATAAGTGGTATGTACCTCGGTAGGCTGCTACAGAGCTCATAAATGGATTTGTACCTCGGTAGGCTGCTACAGAGCACATAAATGGTATGCTACAGAGCTCATAAATGTACCTCGGTACACTACAGAGCTCATAAGTGGTATGTGCATGTACCTCGGTAGGCTGCTACAGAGCTCATAAGTGGTTTGTACCTCGGTAGGCTGCTACAGAGCTTATACGTGGTATGTACCTCGGTAGGCTGCTACAGAGCTCATAAGTGGTTTGTACCTCGGTAGGCTGCTACAGAGCTTATACGTGGTTTGTACGTCGGTAGGCTGCTACAGAGCTCAGAAGTGGTATGTAAATGTATCTCGGTAGGCTGCTATAGAGCTTATAAGTGGTATGTAAATGTACCTCGGTAGGCTGCTTCAGAGCTCATAAGTGGTATGTACATGTACCTCGATAGGCTGCTACAGAGCTCATAAATGGTTTGTACCTCGGTAGGCTGCTATAGAGCTCATAAATGGTTTGTACCTCGGTAGGCTGCTACAGAACTCATAAGTGGTATGTAAATGTACCTCGGTAGGCTGCTTCAGAGCTCATAAGTGGTATGTACATGTACCTCGATAGGCTGCTACAGAGCTCATAAATGGTTTGTACCTCGGTAGGCTGCTATAGAGCTCATAAATGGTTTGTACCTCGGTAGGCTGCTACAGAACTCATAAGTGGTATGTAAATGTACCTCGGTAGGCAGCTATAGAGCTCATAAGTGTTATGTACCTCGGTAGGCTGCTACAGAGCTCATAAATGGTTTGTACCTCGGTAGGCTACTACAGAGCTCATACGTGGTATGTACATGTACCTCGGTAGGCTGCTACAGAGCTCATAAGTGGTATGTACCTCGGTAAGCTACTACAGAACTACCCGTGTGTGCATTGATCCCTTATATGGTAATACCCCGCAACTACTTTGTTCTGTTTTCCGTACCTCTGTTTTAATGCATAGTGTTCATTAGTTTTATTCAATCTTCGATCCTTCTTTTTACAAGGTGAAGTATTTTTCATACACGGAACAATTTCATCTTTAGTTTCAGGTGCCAAGATTATGACCTTTACATTGGGAAAGAACATACCTCGGCATGTCAGTGTAATGAAAGGTACCTCTCGATGTAAGGAAAACCAGTATGTGTGTGTATGTGTGTGTGTGTGTGTCTGTCTGTCTGTCTGTACTATAGTAGCTGATACTTTGCATTTAACAGATTTAATCTTCAAGGCATAGTTTATTCATTTTCTTGAATTCTTGAAAGCACTAGCCGATACTTTACATGTAAATACCTTCAGTAAGCTTCAAACTTCAGGAGGTGGGGGTAACGGAGGTATCATGTACTTTCCATAATTTGTAATTCGTGTGGTTAGTATGATATCTACTTGTAAACAGCAATAGTACTAACCTGAAGGCTTCTCTGGTAGTTTTTGTTTCCAATGGGTGCTGGTGTTTTGGGAAGCAGACTGTTTTACCACAGACACAGGAGTTGGTATAAACTGAAAAAAAATAATACATTTTGTAATAAAGCCGTCAGTGTCTTGCACTAAGATATACAATGTCTATGTCAATACAAAGTTGAGAAAAATCATTTATAATAACATTTTTGGCATGTTAAAACACATCTAAAGCAATAAGTGGTGTGACATTATTGAATAATGTCATGACATGTATCATTTATGATTTCCCCAATCCAAAAATTCTGATATTATTCAAAACCAATGCTGAGCCCTGTTTCATACCTAATGCAAAAACATTATATGCGACAGTAATATCGAATGCACTGTCTTACCCATGGTTTTTCAGGTTCTCGTATTCCAGGACTCAAACCTCTTCGAGGTACTGCTAATTCCGGCAGTAATGCTTGGAAATAGAACGCTGTTAATTTGGGCACCATTGTGTTTAACCAGAGATTCTGATCACGTGTTATTCTCTCAACATGTAATTGATTAGGGTTGGTGCGTCTTACTACAAAGTCCAGCCATGGAAATCCAATAACATTCATCTGCCCTTGACATTGGAAATAGAACTTGTGATTTCGACGTAATTTTAAACCACTGCCAGTAACGTTTAAACAAAATCCCGGCATTTTCTTGGTTGCCTCTTGAAGTGTCATTTGGTTTTTCTGTAGGAGGTTCTTGATTTCTAACAGCCCCTTTTCCCGACCATCATTATACACAACTACCCCATCAGTACTGGCAGCTAAGTACTTGTGGTCTTGATCGATGGTGAGACCTAAAATTTCCACATGTACGGTGTCTCCATGGTCAGCTTTAAATTGGACATACTTTTTGATAGTGGCCGATTCCTGTGATAACCCATAGCTGGTGTACCTGTTTCCCAGAAATTTATTATATAACAACCGATGAACAAGAGGTGCCACAGGCCCCTTGACACGTTTGTGAACAATTTCTCCAAAGCACGTTGATGTTAATCGTACTCGCCTTTCTTCCCTCCATAAATTGCACAGGCTCTGGGACTTGGTAAGATATTGGATTTTCTCGCAGTGTTCATTTGAGTGGTTAACATAATCTGTCAGGAAGGCATCACATTTTTCCTGCAGTGTTGAAGAGCTTACATCTTCCACGACATCAGTAACATCTTTTTCATAAGCCTTCTTGGCTTTTTTGCTGGCTGCAATGGATAGAGAGTTCAGTTTTCGCTTGCGAGACCTTCCTTTAACTTCCATTTTGTTTTGGGATTTGAGGCTCCTTAATAAATGTTGGGAACGGCGTCTAAACAGCGTGGTAAAAATGGAACCAGGGGGGCGCTCGATTCGTAGTCCAGGATCTCGGGGAGATTCGGAACAGCAATCGAATGCTATTTCAGAGTGTTCCGGACATCTTCCGGCTCTCCCCGCGAAATAGGTGGTGTGACCGGGGAGAGTGACGTCAACAAGATGGCTGATGTTGGAAGCATTCTGAAGTGTGCAGATTGCGGGGTGCTTTTTTTCTCCCGACAAGCGTTCCTTCAGCACGAGTGTCACAAAGGTACGTTAATTTTATCCTCTGCCGAAGAAAGAAACGCCCAGGAATTATAGTCAATATCTCTGAAATAACATTTAATTGGTTTTTAGCGTATGTTGACGGATTCGTTGACAGGCACGTGCCGTGGGTTAGCAAGTTAGCAGTGTATGTTGCCCACTGTTGGCATAAAAGAACTGATAAAAGTGATATCAAAATTTTTCTTTCCCGGTAGGCTACAATATTGATAACCGTGCGTCTTAAAACTAAAACACAAATCATACACAGATACACATGTAACGACAGATTTGAAACAAATATGTTCAGAATATTGATACAACGTTAAACAGCTGAGAAATGTTTATATAAAACGGCCGAGTAGTGTTCTCTTATTTTATAGGAGTAAATATTAAATATTTATTACAATCTGTATATATCCAATTTGACCCACTGAAATTAGAAATCATATGAAAATGACTCGCTCACTGTCTTACAGAGGTATATTTTTTTGCAAGGGGGGGGGGGGGGGTAGGAGTTGTTCTTGCAGACATTTTCCAATTTTTACATAAGTTACTTTTGCGTTTGTATGTTATGATGTCAAAGGGAACCAGACAAATAATCAGTGACCATAAAAATAAAAAAATGATTCTAATATTCTTTAGGGATGATGTTTATGACGTTTTTAGTATGTAGAAATAAATTGATATTACCATCAATAAAAAATTATAAATAAGCGTGGTTTACATTTGTGTAAAGTTTTTTGATATTTGACTTAATTTGGAAATATTTATGAAATAAAACAAGACCTGTTTTCTCTATTACAGCAATGCCAATGACCTTAAACTTTCTTTCTCTTTCAGCCTTGAATTCCATCAAAACTGAAGGGCATGTGACAGAGAATGATCATATCCGAACCATGTTCCAGTGTGAAAAATGTAAGGGATGGTTCTGGGATGAGGAAATATATGCAAAGCATGCATGCCAGCAACTTCATGGTAAAGATATAATATGGTTGTTTTGTGTTACCTCCATATACACCAGCCCTAACTTTGGCAGCCAGGAGCTGCCCTCTCTACCTGTTCAATAATTGATAGTAGATAAATGTTCTGTTCATTGTAAGACAACTTGTATATAGTACAATCTAACATCCGATTCTGGAACTCTGCAAGTATGGATGCGCCGGGTCACTGCAATTGTGGTGTCAGAAATATGTCATGTAATTTTACATGGTGTCATGCTATAGTCTGCCCAGTGAAATGTATTTCTATGTCATAGTTATATAGTGGATAGATATTAAAAATCTTAAAATTAAAGAGGTGGAAAATTAAAATAAACCAGGGCCAGAAAAGGGCCCCCATTGACACTTATCTTCTGATTTAAAATTTTTTCTGTTACAGAATCATCTCAGTCAAATGAAGGTGATGCCAGTGCTGCTGAATCAAGCACAAGCTCATCCTCCTGTGGACCCACCTCTACTGCCGGACAAGAAAAAGGTAATTGGACGAAAGCTCAGACCAAACTTCTAATATCTTTATATAAGGAAAATGAGGAGAAGGTGTCAAACGGTCTAATGAGCAAAAAATGTCTCTGGCAGAAGATATCAAATTCCTTTAGAGAAAAGACCTACAACTACACACCCGACCAGGTCAGTGGGCGATGGAAGACCATCACTCGTGCATATAAAAGCATCAAAGACCACAATAAAAAGAGTGGGAATTCGAAAAAAAATTATGAATATGAAGAAGACCTTGATGATTTGATGGGAGATTGCCCCACAATTAGTCCTGTTACTATCAGTTCTCAAAAACGAAAGCAGCCTGAAGCTTCAAGATGACGATGAAATAGTAGATCAAGATAGCTCTAGCTCTGAAGCTTCCATCCCTAAAGAAGCAAGCAGGAAAAAAGTAAAGAAATCAAAGTCGTCTGAAGTAATGGACTTACTAAAATTGCATACTCAACAGCAGCAGGAGTTTCGAAAGGAAGAAGCTGCACGCAAGGATAAAATGCACAAAGAAAAAATGGCCTTACTTTCTACACTGGTGCAATCATTGCAGCAAAAAAAATGATTTTGCCAAGAAATGTCAGTTGCATTGTTAAGACAGGTCTGTCATTTTCAGAAAAAATTACGTTCTATGAACATGATGAATGCACTTGATCTAATGTTTTGTTATAATATGTATGTTTCTGTTGGCAACATTTATTTTGTACCATACTAAGGAATATGTTATTAGTTTGATTGGTTTCTTATACTCAGTATATGATAAATAAGAGAAAAAAAGTCAGTCTTTGTCCATTTATATTTTATTATGATACCTGGTTGGTATGTATGATTGAAATGTGTTAAAAATGCTCTGTTCTCTTCTTTTTAAACTTGTTAGCTGGCTAATGTTACATTTAAAATTGTTTCAAAATTTCAGAATCCTGCTGCATTTGTATGGAGAATCCAGCAAACTGTGTACTGTTGGACTGTGGCCATCTAGTAACCTGCATGAACTGTGGGGGGGATGTAGAAAGGTGCCCAATATGTCGGGCTGAGATAAAGAGGAGAGTTAAGGTGTTCACTTGTTAATCTGAGTCTGATTCCAAAATAGTATTAAAGGTATTACATGTTGCCAAATGGTGCTAGACAGATTTACGTGTATAATTTTTGAAAGGTGGTTATATACCCTGCTTATTTTGCAATATCTTTCCAAGGCCCTGGGCTTTTATATTAGCTGTACGGTTAATTTTGTTTTTATTTTTTGTCAGGAGATCAGACAGCATGTAACATAGTAACAATACTTTTTTTCTGAATCAGAATATTAATATATTTCAGTATAAATAATCAATGCTCGGGTAGATACAGCCACAGAGGAAATGTTGAGCTGATATGAGCGGTAGGAAAAATTTTTCAAAACAACCCGGACCCAGAAAGACCCGATCTAGAAATTCTAGAAATGTTAAAATCAGGTTTAGAAAGGAATGATTTTGAATTCAACGGTAAATGGTATCTCCAAATATCCGGAACAGCAATGGGTAAGAAATTTGCTCCGAGCTATGCCAACATTTTTATGGCCGATTTTGAAAAGGAAGCTTTAGCAAAATGTTCAAAACAACCTTTAGTTTATGTCAGATTTCTGGACGATATCTTCATTATTTGGACACATTCAAGGAGCGATTTTGATGACTTTTTCGATACTCTCAACAACCATCATCCATGCATAAAACTTAAGGCAACCATTAGCAATGATTCGATAGATTTCTTAGATACGACTGTGTTTAAAGGCCCAAAATTCGGTCAAACAGGAAAACTAGACATTAAAGTGTTCTTCAAACCAACAGATTCTCACCAACTTCTTCACAAAAAGTCGTTCCATCCGAAACATTCCTTTAAGGGCATCATTAAATCGCAGATAATTCGTTTCCATAGAATCTGTACTCGAGAGTCAGACTTTAACAATGCCGTAAACATCTTATTCAGGGCTCTCAGAAACCGAAACTATTCATATAGATTTCTACGTAAAATCAAAGGGGAAACTTTAAAAGAAATAGCGCCTAAAAATGGTTATATAGCGGAAGCCTGTCACAGTAAACGTTGTGAAACATGCCCCTTTCTCCAAGTCACCGTCTGCTTCTATAGTTCAAAAACAACAGAAGTATTTAACATGAAACAAGACCTAAACTGTAACTCTAAAAACGTAATTTATCTTATCACTTGTAGGAAATGTGATTCGCAATACGTAGGGCAAACGTCTTTGTCTTTAAGAGATAGATTCACAAGACACCGTTTTGATATAAGACACGAAAAAGATAAACCAGTTGCGAGACACTTTAACCAAAACGGACACAGTTTAGAGCACGTAAACATAACACCGATAGAACAGGTACCAGATTCTAGTTTTCTAAATGAGAGAGAAGGTTTTTGGATTGATAAACTCCAGACTTTAACCCCACACGGCATAAACGAACAATCTGTTCCAAACCAGATCCTACCTTTTGTAATAACGTATAACACAACAGCCACAGTAGTAGGGAGAAAGGTAAGAGAACATTACAATAAACTAAAGTCAGAATTTCCTGAAATCTATAAAAACAGACTAGTTACAGCGTACCGCAAAAACAAAAACCTACAAGATCTATTAGTTCGCAGCAGACTCAAGACTAACATGTAAACTCTTCGGCCAGTGCACAGGGATTAAACCCTAATCCCAAACCATAACCTTAAACCTAACCCAGCCCGCGCCAAGGTTTGAAATTTAGTCGCCTCTTCTGCTGCATAGTCATAAACACACTATATACATCCCAGGTGTAGTCTCCTAGAGCTTAGTGTTTAAATACACACAACATTACACTCTCTAGTAAAACACATCGTCTATATTTCCGATGCCGTCTAAGAACCTAGGGCCCCGAAACATATCATTAAGACCCTTATCTTTATTCCCCCCTAAATAACCCCATTCCCATTTCTCATCTTCCAGAGACACATGATTGCAAGTATACCGACGAATATACACAGTAGTTAGTTACGTGCATGATATCTCTGTACCCATTGGCTCCAAACAGTCCCTGTCCAACTCGACCCTGGGAACCCTACGATATAATCAGTACAGTCTCAAGAAAGTGTTATAACAAGTGTTAATTTTTATACCAGTGATTATTTATTGGGGCTTAAATTTTTCCCGCAAAAAAACCTTTTTTTTTTTTTTTTTTTTCCAAACAAATTAATCATCGAGTAGGTATTTAAAGTGACTTATTACTCTATTCCTAATTGAACCACTTGAGATACAACGACTAGTAAGTAGACAATAACTATTCACACGGCTGAACGCCCACCCAAGCTACTTGAGCTCATCGGCAGCACAGGTAAAATCTGGAACCGGCCTAAGGTAAACCAAAGCTACCTGGACCCACCACACCAGTGTCCACACAGGTTAATTACCTCATTAGTATTTAATTACCCCACCCAAGCTACCTGAGATCATCGGCAGCACTGGTAAAATCTGGGACCGGCCTAAGGTAAACCAAAGCTACCTGGACCCACCACACCAGTATTCACACAGGTAAATTACCTCATTAGTATTTGATTACCGTCCGCGCCGCTGAACATCTGTTCCCAAGCTACCTGAGCGCGGTCTCAGGACATGGTTATCACAGGTAACTTGGGTAAACGCCGGCCTGTAAAACGGTCGGTACAGGTAGACCCAAGCTACCTGGATCACCTACTCAGGTGTTACCACAGGTGAGCTTGGACAAACAACTCACGGAACAGTGGTCAGTGAGATAATTAATTAGCGAACCCACGTGCCCATATCACGTTTCCACTTGACCGCATCCATGGTCGAACGAACACACCAATCAGTGTCATGTTGTTACAAGATCAACCAACCACAGTCATGCACTAATTACAGGTTACAAACGGACGGTCCCTTGGTCGAGAGTATATTAAGGGCTAGGATACCCTAGTTTCTTCAGTCTACACCTGCCACCTGAAGAAGACATATCGTCGAAACTAGTAGTGGCATTGACGGCTTCGGAATCATCCTCATTTCCTTTGAAGTGTACTTTGGTATTGTATTGTGTATTTCTAATCATTTAATTTCTTTTACAGGTTTTGTATTATCATTTGTTGTTTGACATGTACTAATCATTAATTTCCTTTTCAGCTTTTTAGTGCTTTTTTTAGTGTTTTTTTAGTGTTTTTTTTAGTGCTTTTTTCAAATTTTTAGTGCTTTTTAGGGGTAAAACATATTTTTCAGTTCCATTTTTTATGGGAATATCATTTTTGCCCTGATTTTCGGTCATCTTTTTCTCAAAAAACGATTTTTTGACCCCCCAAAATTTTCTAATTTCCCACAGTAGTCTGAACCTCCAATTTCTATCAATATGGCGTACGGAAGTAAGCGATGGCAAAAGCCAAAAAACAGAAATTCTAATCCGAACGCCAAATACATTCGGCCTTTTTTTCAACTTATTCAGGCCATTCACCACACTTCGGTTATAGAGGTTCAGGCTAAGGGTGGTACCCCAACCAGAGGGTTTCAGAGACAAGTAGCAAATCTTTCCAAATTCCTTAAACCCGCTCAAGCTAACCGCTCCATTTTAGAGCGCCTCCAAAACGTCCACATGTCTTGGGCTAAATTCACAGCCCAAGCCTTGCTGGAGCATTACCGTGCCAGAATTTCGGAACTTTTAGGTACAATTAGGGCCCACAACTTTAGTAGGAATATGGTCAATTCTTTTTCGGACTCTTCTTTGGATTGGGCAAGAAAAAACTTTAAAAATAAACTTCGAGAAGACACGGTCTCGACATTCAAAAACATGCTGCCAAGCCTTTGTGCTATACCTGTCAATGACTCTCGATCCACCCGCATTTCGGTCCCAGCTAACTCTTCCCCCACTTCTCCCTCATCCTTTTCTTCTCCTCCGCCTCCTCCTCCTTCTTCCCACTCTAACTCTAACCAGACTGACACCTTCCAAACTCCTAACCGCCGCCGCACCCGGGCTTCCTCTCGCCTAACTAACAACCCTAACATCACCACTGGTAACCGCTTTTCCTCCCTTTCACCTCCCCCCACCCCGAGTACGCCTAAACGTAAACGGGACTCTTCTTCTCCTTCACCTGCTAACACGCCCCGCAAGTCTCGCAGGGCTCTAAACGTAAAACCTCTTCAAACCCCTAACAAAACCCGCACTCCTAACCCTCCTAGGTCACCTCCCAGCTATGCGGAGGCGGCCACTAAACCACCCTCCATTAACCGCCACCCTAACACCCCTAACAAATCGGAATGGCAACTCCCGCCAATTAACAAACCGATTCTGGTGATAGGAGCCTCTAACCTCTCCCGGGTAACGTCTCTCCCTGATCCTACCGTCCAAATTGAATCCTACCCAGGTGCGAAGATAAGGCATATTGTAAACATAGTAAAGAATTATGCGCACTCTGGTCTTCCAACCCATGTAATTGTAAACAGTGGAATTAATGATAGGTCGGCCCAAAACATGATTGATGTGTTTCGGGACCTATCCGTCCTTCGTGACGTATTGAAAAAGTCGATTCCCTTAGCACGATACTATTTCACAATCGTGCCCATTTCGGAAAAACTGGCCAAAACAAAACCTCGGGAATCTGACAATCTTTCGGCATTTAATAGGCACCTTTTGGACATTCAAAACAAGGCCACGGTTACTTTGGACAGTAGGATCGCTGGGGGGCTCCGGTTCAACTCAGACGGCATTCATTGGACCGAGGCCACGGCCAATGAACTTGTCCGCTCTTGGGTATCTCAGGTAAAAAATGCCAAGGGTTTTTTTGCCTAGATCCTAAAGGGTTGAACCAGGATCGCCCCTCAGATAACCCAACTAACACCATAAACCTAAGCTCTAGGACTTTAAACCCAGATGAAATCCAGCTTCTCGATAGAGGTTTGAAATTTATACCGACGCCTAGAAATATTTCGAGCAATGATTTTATTGATTCGGCCAAAGACCTCGGCAGAAAACTCAAAATTACACATTTTTTCAATGGCAAATCCAAATCAGCTGAAAGTAAGAAATTTGTCGACAAAAGTCAATGGAATCCCCCAGAAAGTGCGATTCCTTCAAACATTCAAAATTCGGTAAGAGACATCATTAAAGATCTTTCCAAAATAACAGTCAGTAAAGAACAGCCCAATTTGAATTGGGCAGAACAGAAAGCAGTAACATCTTTGAAAAAAGACCAGTCGATAGTTATTAAGAAAGCCGACAAAGGCTCAGCAACAGTAATTTTGGATAGGGCAGACTACATCTGGGAAGTAGAAAGACAACTCAATAACCGTAAACACTATAGACAACTGGACTCGCCTATCTATCCTAAAACTAGTGCAGAACTTAGCAACATC